TCATCAAAATACCGAATATAGGGAGGTACCGTTATATGGAGGCTATACGAAGACGTGTATCGTAGTATTTATTTCGAACTTCAAAAACCAAATTTGAAACAATTCCAGTGAATAATGTGGCTAAAATCATCAAAATACCGAATATCGGGAGGGCTATATGAAAACGTGAACCTACATGATCCATTTAAAAACTTAACCTGTCTACTCGAAAAATAAACATGTATACACAATTTTAGCCTACTATCTCAATTAGTTCGAAAGATAGCGTGATTACAACAGACAGACAGACGGACATCGCTAAATCGACTTAGAATTTTACGCTGATCAAGAATATATAATTTGTTTGGTCTGACATGAGTATTTCGAGGAGTTACAAACGGAATGACAAAGTTAATATCCCCTCCATAGTATGGTGGATGGTATAAAAGCAGTAAGTTCGGCCGGGCCGAGCTTTGAATATCCTCCACCATTTGGAACGAATTTGGAAATTTTCAAAAATTAAAATCCTTAAAAAATTCTGTTAAGATTTTAAAAATACCGAATATAACCGTTATATTGGGGTCTATGCGACGTGGACCTACGTGGACATAGGCATTGTTTGTCATAAGCCATTACCATATTCAAATTCGAAACTTGAAATAAACGGTGAATAATGTAGCTAAAATCATCATAATACTTCAAATACGACATCTCAAACAATTTCGGTGAGTATTGTACATAAAATCGTCAAAATACCGAATATATGGGGCCTGTACGAAGACCTGGACATGCATAGACAACTTTCTGTCATAGGCTGTAGTATCCATTACGAACTTCAAATACTAAATTTGAAACAATTCCGGAGAATAACGTCGCTAAAATCATCAAAATACCGAATATTAGGAGGTACCGTTATATGGGGCTATACGAAGACGTGGACCTGCGCAGGCAATTCTCTGTCTTAGGCTGTGGTATCCCTTTGGAACTTCAAATACCCAATTTGAAACAATTCCGGTGAATAATGTCAAAATACCGAATATCGGGAGGTACCGTACTATGGGGGCTATATGAAAACGTGGACCTACATGGTCCATTTACGAACTTAACCTGCCTACTGGCAAAATAAACATGTCTACAAAATGTTAGCCTTCTATCTCGATTCGTGCAAAAGATAGCGTGATTACAACAGACAGACGGACATCGCTAAATCGCCATAGAATTTTACGCTGATCCCGAATATATATACATTGTTGGGTCTTACATGAGTATTTCGAGGAGTTACAAACGGAATGCCAAAGTTAATATACCCTCCTTAGTATGTTGGAGTGTATAAAAATGGTTCGTCAAAATTGCATTCGACAACAACAAATTAATATTTTATGCCCAAAGTTAAAGCTATATTTGATGTGGCTTCAGAGTTATACCAAGTGTAAGGTCAAAATTATTGATGCAATTCAAACAAAGTTGTAGCCAAAGACTACATGACAGCACTGGAGTGGTTCATCAAGGCGTATCAAGCCTAAAGCTTCCACCTTGGATGGTAGTTATTCGAATTGACCTGCCTATACGAATAGTTTCAAGCAGTAGTTATAAGCCACGCTGGTTTGTTTGATGCTCACAGACTTCACAAAATAAATTAAACTTATAAAATGAATACAGGCAATTGGGGTACAATTATCGGTCATTTTTATTGGGCGAATTAACCAGAGGACAATTGTTTGCCATTATGTAAAATTAATATAATAAACTAACCTTATAAAATGAGTACAGATAATTGGGATACAATAATCGTTAATTTGTATTCGACGAATTAACCAGGGAATACGTTGAGATCATGGGAGGACTGACTGACTGACCATAAGGAATAGCCAATCTGGCCACAATTTATTACGTTTTTGAGGAAAAAAATCAACGTCTTCAGGAACGGATTTATAGTAACGAAATCAGAAAGTACTCTCATCAGCGTTAGTCGAAATATGCCATGCGGGTAAGAAATTATTAATTCGCTCATTATTGGATGGAAGTTCCGTACGTTGATTTTTATCAAAGATAGCACAACAACGTTATCTTCCAATGTTATTGTGCAGCACTCAGATTTGCGCATAAGGCGGGATTACAGCTGGTGCCTCGCAAGAAATCTGCATTGTAATATTAAAAGCAAAATACACAGACTTCAGTCTACAGATTAATTTGATCATTATTTCAAAATTATCTCAGCTAAGAAAGTCAATATTGAACATTTAAGTGAAGTGTCAGAGTTGAAACTAGCACAGAAATTGCACATATAGCACTAGGTCTTCGTATATCCCCCATATAACTGTACCTCCAGATATCCGGTATTTTTATGATTTTAACGACATTATTCACCGGAATTGTATCAAATTTCAAATTTGAAGGTCCTAATGGCTACTACAGCCTATGTCAGAATGTTTTTAGAGATGCTTCTAAGGAAGTCCAAACTAGCCGCAGCTCTCACAGAAAGTCCGAATGCAAGATATGAAGTTTATTCTTGTAATCGCACATACTCACACTGTAGAGAGCAACAAGTGCAAAAAGCAAAGTTCGCCCGGGCTGAACTTTTAATACCCTCCACCTTTATGTGGGGCTACGAATATGTGGACCTGTATAAGTTTGTCATAGGCGGTAGTACCGATTCCGAACTTCATATACGAACTTTGAATCCATTCCGGTTAATAAAGTCACTAATATCATTAAAATACTCAATAGATTAAGGTACTGTTATAGATAAATTTCCGTCAAGTTAACTAATAACATTTATGCACAAACTAACCTAAAGCGGCTAAGATAGAAAGGACCGAAATACCTTTTTTAAAATAAAAGGCTCAAGCCTCAAGACAGAGTCTTCAGCTTCATCTGATCCGTCCTTATCAACTACATATTTTAACGAGTATTAAATAGACAAAAGTCAGGCTGGGAAGACGATATGATACCCTACATCACTATGCATACTTAATAGAGCTTTTGTTAAAAATTAATTCCTCATATTGTGTACTTGTTTGAAGTAAGTAATGATCTTTTTTGAATGAATATAAGGAGGCTGCATCTTAATCTGAATCGTTTTCTACTTAATGAAATATGTTTATGCTGAAGTGATCTCTCGTGCTTTCATATTATGACTTTGGGAAGGCTTAAATATAAAATCTTATGAAACATATATAAGAGAGCTACATTATTCGAATTTCGAAAAAAACTTTAGTTTTTCTATCTAACACAACTTTAAAGACTATCATTCCGAATTTCATATTCCTAGCCCTATTCCTTCCCCAAATATTAAACATAATACTATTACTTCTTTTCGCACAGTTTTGGTAGGCATTTCCAAATCCCTCCTCCGTGTATCAACCGTACCCCGTTCCTTACCCAAGTACTAAATTTTATTACCATTTAGTTCTTTTTAGTACAAATTTTCAAAACTACCTCCATACCCCAATATAATACTCCGTATCAAATTTAGTACCATTTAATATACATAAGTACAGATTTTCATAACTACCTACATCACAGAATCCAATAGAAATCTTATTTCCAAATTTCTGGATTAATCTCTACCAGTTTTCCAAAAATTTAAATTGTACCACATTTAGTACTATTTAGTACATATAGGAATGAATTTCCAAAATGTTTTACATACTCCAATCTTACAATACAACACATTTTTTTCAAATTTCAGGATTCCAACTTATCCGATTATTTCTAAGGGCCCAACATAAAAAATAAGATTTTTCAAGAAATATCTAAAAAATTCTTTTCCCACGTCGGTGTACTGTTTTTTAAATATCAATACCTGCAGATTTTAATTTCTTTCATGCTTTCGTTTAAGGATTTTGATTTGCTTCACTTTTTTAATATGAATTAAAAAAATTATTACAAAATATGCAATTGGGTAGGTGGGTGATATGAGAAATCGTGGATTTATTTCAGCAGTTTTATGCCACAGTAGACAGAGCCCATTTCAAAATGCACATACCGAATTTTAGAGAATACCGCTGAAAAATGTGGCTAAAATTATCGGAATACCGAATTTTGGGTTCTACTATTATATGGAAGCTAAAAAAACGTGAACCTAACTGCATAGGCAATGATCTGCCATAGGAGAAAAAACCCATTAGTACCGAGTTTTAAACAATTCAGTTAGAAAATGTGGCTTAAATTATCAATATACCGAATATATGAAAACATGGATATATGTAGACAATAATCTACTACAACAAGTATAATCCGAACTCTAAGGGCCGAGTGTTAAACAATTCATTTACAAAATGGGTAAGATCAATAAAATACCGAATATCGCGGGGTATGGTTATATGTGGGCTATATGAAAACGTAGACCTATATATTCAATGATCTGTCAAAGGCGGTAGTGTGTGAAAATGTGACCAAAATCGTCAAAATACCAAATATCGGGAGGTACTTGCCTACTGACAAGAAACGCATATGTACAAAATGTTGGCCCTCTATCTCAATTCGTTCGTAATATGGTGTGATTACAACAGGTATACTAGCATTGCTAAATCGAATATATATAGTGTGGGGTTTAATATGCGTACTTCGGGGAGTTACAAACGGAATGAAAATTCAAAAAATAAAAAAACAACATTATTATTGATCGATTAGAAACAGTGGGAACTTTAAAATTTCGAAAAAAATAAATAGGTTCGAAATGGAAAATCATTGATACTTAAACACAATGTTGGTTATATTTTTGAAAATTTTAGTAAGAGCCACTCTTTGGTAAAATAAGGCGGGAAACTGGTTAATTAAGGTTTCGATCTAAAACTTTGAAGTTGAATACTGGTTGCGATAAGCAGGATAGAATCCTAAAAGGACGTATGTGGACGTATGTTCACCGTATTGTCTTGCATCAAATACACAAATATATCTGAATATGAATTAGAATCTAGATTTTGATTAATTGAGAAGTTTATTTAATCGGTAAAAGTATAGACCCATATTAGTATTATACATTTTGTACCTATAATTAACAAATTAAAAATATTTACCTCACTAGTTTTATTTATATCATTCATCTGATTCAATTTCTACGCTTATAAGAAAACCATGTGATGGGGTATTAAAAACGGTAATTATATATTCATCAGTACAATCATTTTCACCGTAATAAATAACATAGCATACCTCTGGAATGACTATAACAGGTTTAAGTGTGGCAGATTCTTTCTGCGCGCTATCTTCTTCTAATTTACCCTTACCGACCTGGAATCCTTTTTTAGAGTCATCTGTATTAATTTCTGCCTTTTGTTCCTGTGAAATTAAAAATCAATTATATATAAGTTTATATTATTGTCTAATATTATTTTATTATCCGGTATATTTCTACCAATATGTTGGTAGTAATTAGCTCAAGGGACGTTATGAATACATAATTTTTTCATTGTAGTTTGATACCTTTGAAATATTAGGGGCTTCCATCAGATCTTTTGATTTCTTTAATGAATCCAAAATTGGTTTCTCCATTTTACTGGGAATATTAGTATCGCGACTAAAATCTGATGGATCAAACTCCGGTTTCTCAAATTTTTCTAGTTGGGGACGCTCATAATCAGGAATTTCAGGAAGATCCTCGTACTTTGATTTTGCTTTAGGCTTAGTCTTTGTCTTAGTTTTAGTTTGTTCTTGCTTAGGCTCATCTTTCACCTGAGGAGTTTTCTTTAATTTAGGAAATTCGTCAACAGGCTTATTTTCGTCCACAATCTAAAACATTACATTTTCACAAACAATTAATTAATTTACTTTTTGGCTTCCCAGTTTCTATTGGAATGAATATCTGATACTGTATTTACAAATTAATAAATTCTACAATATTTATATATATATATATATATATATATATATATATATATATATATATATATATATATATATATATATATATATATATATATATATATATATATATATATATATATAAATATTGTAGAATTACGGATTATTATGTAAACAGAAAAGTAAAAAAGAATCAAATCTCAAAACTAAATTCCAAAGAATCAAATTTATGTAAACACAAAAGTAAGAATGAATCAAATCTTAATACTACATTCCAAAGAATCTAATTCTTAAACTTTGCCGTTGTTATTGCTGACGGCGTAAAAGCTGGCGCAATAAACAGCGAAACGTTAAATATATTTTAGATTATAAGTAAATTCAGTCTTGATTTAACATTCCAGAAATACAGTCTTGATTTAACTGTAAAGAAACCGAAGTATCCGATTTGGTCCAAACTTGGTACATCGTAAAATTTTTGTCAAACTTAGATCGAGTTCGGAGATAAGCTATATCGGCCCTTCTGGTACCTACCCCACAAAAGCTCAAATTTTCAAAAAATATATTTTTTTACTCCAACTTCGCAAATCTTAATATTTGCGTCAGTGATAGGTCTGTTGCGAAAATGGTCAATATCTGCCCACTCCTTCTGGTACCTCCCCCACAAAGGGTCAAAATTTTAAATAATTACAACTCTCATAAAATGTGATGTAAGAGTCGATTGTCTTCAATATTCACACATCCCAATATTTCTATTAACCCAAGGTCTGGTGTTAAGATGGACAAATGGTCGAAATTGTCCAAAAATACATATTTTTTGCATATCCTAATATTTGTGTCAGCGCTAGGTCTGGTGCAAAAAAGGACAATATCTGGTTCTGCTCCTTCTGGTACCTCCCTCAAAAACGCTCAATTTTTTGAATATCCATGAAGCTCATATAAAGTGAAATCAGCATCCGATTCCATTCCTAACACGGTAATTCCAAAATGTTTCCATCTACACAAGATCTGTTATAAAGATGGTATAGATCGAACCATTTCTTTTGTTAACTGCTCCACATAGGGTTCAAGATTTTGAAAACAAAACGCTCAAAGAAATCGAAATAAGAATCCAACTCTCTTCAAATTTCACACATACAATCATTTTTGCTAACACGATATCTGTTGTGAAGATGCTATATATCTGCAAACCCCTTCTGGTACCTCACCCACAAAGGGACACAATTTTTAATACTTTTATCTGTCATAAATTGCGAAACAACTCAGCGATTCTTTACGACTTGCTATATCTAAAAATATGTCTCTCAACAAGAATCCTGAGATGAATATAGAATTTAAGATTTCCCAAAAATTGGATATAAATGTTCGATTTTCTTACATACAATACATGGACAATATTGACCCATTCTTTAAAACCCACTCCACAGAGGATCAAGAGTTTGAAAATTTATAACATATGTCAAAATATTTTTAAATAATCGAGCATTGGCTGGGGGTATAAATCTGTCGGCAAAACCGACAGATATTTTTTACTTTTTTTTTTTTTTAAAGTCGATTTTCATTTGGCAACATTTAATTGACGCAGTCGGTAGGATAACAATAGTGCAACTTCGAATTTCTGTTGTCCACAAAAGAACTTTACGCCCGAGTAAAACTTCAACCGCTCAGCTATATTAACAGTAAACTATGAATTGTCTCTTACGGGTTGTTGTATATCCACAAAACAACTTTACGTGTGTGAAAATTTGACCGCGAAAGAACATTAAATTTTCGATTATTGTTGTATATCTACAAGACTACTTTACGTGTATGAAAATTTGATCGCGTCAGAATAGTAAAATTTCGATTATTGTTGTACATCTACAAAACAACTTGATGTGTGTGAAAATTTGACCGCGTAAGAACCGTAAAAATGACTACAACCCCAACGATGGAATTATCAGAAAGCCATTTAGGCCAGGCTTTGGGGCAAATTCGCCAAGTACCCCCTTTCGATGGAACCACCATGGACTTAAACGCCTTTATCAAGCGAATGGACTACATTTTGCAACTATATCCAACAGAAAGCAGCAGACAGCACAACATCCTTTTTGGTGCTATAGAGATACAACTGTGCGGAGAAGCCTTAAGAATTTCCCAAATTACCGGAGCAACATCATGGAGCGAGTTACGAGCATCATTGATAGGAGAATTTAAAACACACTCAGGCAATCTCCGTAAGTTTATTGAGGAGTTAGAATATAAGTCCTTTATAATTACTAATAAATAAAATAACGTAAAAATAATATAACGCATCCAATACTACTTTATACACCAATGCAATGGCAAACACAGTAAAAGACGTAATCACAAGAAAACTCCCAGATAGATTATTTATGCACCTTGCTAGGTAATATCTCCAGTAATCCAAATAGGCCAAACAAAGTGAATTATAGTTTGAATTCTAATTAAAATAATAATCATAAGCCATATTTTAATGTGCTTAGAGACAATTTAAATCAACCTAGGAGGGAAAATTATTTAAACCACCAACAGAGCTTGCAATACAAAGAACCCAATTTACCTTTAAAAAGACAAAGAATATCTACTAGTGGCCAATCCAGAATGGATGTAGATGAAAAAAAAAAGAAGGCTCAGAAATGGAGGAGGAAGGGAAAGCAGGTTTATACGAATAAAAATGAATAGCATACCCTTAAAATGTCTCATAGATACAGGATCATCAATAAATTTGATGAACAATATTTTGAAGGTATCTAAATGGTACCATAACACTTTGCAATAGCATACAATTCAAGACTAGAAAACTTTGTCCAACCCAACAAAAAATTTATTTACATAATTTCTCAGAAAACTATGACATATTTTTTGGAATTTTTGGAATCTTGTAATGCTATAATCAATTACAGAGAAAATACTATAACCTTAAACAACTATACATTTAACATTAGAAAAAATTCTGAAGAGATCAGAAAAACCGAGGACATTGCAGACGCTGTAATATCAGGGGATAACCCAAATTATAATTTTGCAATCAATGCAACGTTAAATGAAACCAGTCAATATAGCTTAGAACACCCCAATGAAAAGGAGAGAAATGAAATAATGAAGCTTTTGAAATCTTACAATGATATTCAGTACAAAGAAGATGAAAATTTGACTTTTACTAGTAATATAAAGCACGTTAGTAAGACTAAAAATGAAGTTCCAATTTATAGGAAACCCAATAAATATCCTCAAGCTTATGATGAAGAATCCGATAAGCAAATTAAAGAAATGATTACCCCAGGTATCATAGGGAAATCAAAATTCCCCTACAGTTCACCTCTTTGGATAGTAACTAAGAAGATGAAAATTTGACTTTTACTAGTAATATAAAGCACGTTAGTAAGACTAAAAATGAAGATCCAATTTATAGGAAACCCAATAAATATCCTCAAGCTTATGATGAAGAATCCGATAAGCAAATTAAAGAAATGATTACCCCAGGTATCATAGGGAAATCAAAATTCCCCTACAGTTCACCTCTTTGGATAGTAACTAAGAAGGTTGACTCATCGGGAAAACAAAAATTCAAGTTAGTTATTGACTTTCGCAATCTAGAGACAAAAACAGATAAAGACTCCGCTTTTGTGCGTGCCGCATTTCAATTAAGGTTGAGATCAGAAAATGTGAAAATAGAAGTCAGAACTAGCAAAACTGGCATTTCGGACATAGAAAGATTTCACAAAACCATAAATGAAAAAACTGAGGATAATAGCAAGTGATAATAATGAAGAAAATAAATTGACCAAATTTGAAACAATACTTTATATTTACAACCACAAAACTGAGAACAATATAACAGAAAATACACCAGCAGAAATTTTTATGTATGCAGGAACACCTGAACACACACAGGAAAATAAGATTAATAAAATTAATAAGTTGAATAAAAAACGAACTGAATTGGAAATAGATACTAATTATAGGAAAGCACCGTTAGTAAAATCTAAAATTACTAACATATCTAAGAAAACAAATAATATAAGACAAGTGAATAGCAAGCATTTTGAAGAAACTAATAGAGGTAGAACAATTGTTCACTGCAAAGCAAATTTTAAAAAGAAAAAGAAGAATAACATAAGCAACTACAATAATTCCAGCTCTGAACAGCAACCAAATGAAGAAAATCATGAATAACCCTTTAGTGACTATCATCATACTTATATTAACACAAATGGTTCAAGGCCAAGGAGATAAACCCAGTTATAGCCAAAAATGGATACCTCATTTTGAAAACAGATGAATTGGAAATTCCTATTGATTACGAATACCATAAATATAAGTTACACGGAACAAACATGTAAAAATTTATTTGAACAAACAAAAGAATTTAAGTTTTTACCACAAACTAAAATTTTAGTCGTAAAATTGCAAAGAGAAATGAATGGTATTAGAATCAATAAACGTAATAAGAGAGGACTAATAAATTTCATAGGTAAAATTTAAAAGTATTTGTTTGGTACTAAAGACGAAAAAGACAAAATAGAACTACAAAGCAAAATTGAAGATATAAGAGAAAATACAATACAAAATAATGAACTAATTCATATAATTGATAACATTAACAAAGACAATTAATAACTTACATGATGTAGGACAAACAGAACACAAAAACAACTTGTTAATTTTTAACTTACACCAGTTCTTGGAATATATAGAATATATTGAATCAGAAAAATTATTAAATATTAAAACATCATCATGGTGAAAAAAGACACTAATCAAGTCTTTTCTCAAATACCCGAAAGGAGTAAAGAAGTACATATTTTTCAAATAGTACAATATCCAGATGCAAAAAGTAATATTATAATAGAAGCCAACAGTAATATATACTATCTTTTTGATAACAATGTTTATTTTGAACATAATAAAGATTTGATAAAAGATAAATGTCAGAAATTTTACAACCAACAAACGCAGAATGCATGTATATAAAAACAAATAAAAACTATGATACCATATTTGCAGAACCAAATGTAATTTTAACTTGGAACATACCAAAAACCATATTAAAACAAAATTGTTTAAACAGAACTATTATTATTGAAGGAAATAATACGATAAGATCCAATAATTTACTATTCAGTTAAATGAAATAATAATTTCTAACACACAATTAGATTTAGAGGATTTCCAAAAAGAATTTTAGTTTTATTTAATTCTTTGGTTCCTCTTCTATTGAACTTACGATCTCGTCACTTGGGTAGAAAATGTTGTTGTCATAGAAGTTATTTTTAAAATAACTTCTGGGGAGAATATCCCAGACAAAAAACAAGGGAACTGATGAGAATTTGTGGCTCTTTCCAAAACCTAGGTATTCCCTGTCTTACCCCCTGGTAAACATTACCATCGTTCTCCACTAACTAATATACAAACGTTGTTTTTATAAAAAACAACAATAAATGGATTAAGCCTGACCATTTTGCAACAACAAAATTATTAAAAACTTTATTTAATAAAACCTATGCTGACAAAAATAGAAGAATTCCGTCAGCAAACGTGAAATACCGAATATCGGTGGGTACCGTTGTATGGAAACCGTGTTTTTGAAACCTTTGTGAACTACAAATATCAAATTTGGCCTTAATCATCAAAATACCGAATATCCGAAGGTGCTGTTTATGGGGCTATACGAACAAAGGGACCTATATATACAATGTTCTGCCATCGATGCTATAACCCATTACCGAACAAAAATACCTATTTGTAGAAAACCCCGTGGAAAAACATGGCTAAATCCATAAAAATACCCAATATCGGGAGGTAACGTTATATGGAGGCTACAGTGAAACGTGGAACCATACAACAAATGTCATGCCATCAGAGGAAGAACTGTTAAATACTCCTACTACCAAACTTCTCTACGGTAAATAATGTGCTCTGTGTTGTGTCGGAAATCGCTTTTTTGGGTCTTCGACGAATATTTAGAGGTACCCTTTTTCCATGGTGAAGGGCATAAATAGCAAGTAGCTATTAACTTATAAAAAATTAAAACAATACTGAACAATTTTATTTTATTTTATTTAAACCCAATAAATATCCTCAAGCTTATGATGAAGAAGCCGATAAGCAAATTAAAGAAATGATTACCCCAGGTATCATAGGGAAATAAATAGCAAGTAGCTATTAACTTATAAAAAATTAAAACAATACTGAACAATTTTATTTCTCTATCCTAAGAAAGAAATAGGAAGCGGTGCAATTCGGTGACTAAATTATCATGTAATCAAATTATCGATCACACCGTAATCGAGTACATGATAACAAAACACGAAAGAAAAACAAAGCGTTTCGTGTTTTAGAAAAAAGTAAACAGAATATTTGTTTGAAATGTTATATATTTGAGAGAGGTGTAGAAAAAGAGAAACAAAGCTTTGCTCAAATATTGGAAAATTACAAATACAACCAATCGTCATCGTCAATGAGGATCATTTGACATCAGCAGTGGAATTTGTAAAAAAAAAGCATTCAATTGCTTTGGAAATTGAGGTTCAGTGATCTTCGAAGTCGCAAACAATTTAAAAATAAATTTATTTATTCTTTTCTGACTATTGCCTGATTTGAATGTATTTCTGGTATTTGAATTTAATGCATGTATGCTATAGAAGCACAATGGATCCATCCTAACTATGAGTGATTCACGTAAAAAGATGCGGTGTCGCGAATATACGGCACTTTTGAATGCAAATTTTTCTCTGGGATATTACCTGTAAAATATTATAATATAATGTTGTACAAGTCTCGTTAATCTTCTACCATGATCCAATCAAAAACGATTCGCCTGAAAATGTGGCCTATATCTTCCAAATAACGAATATTGGGAAATACCGATATATTGTTTGAAGTACCGTTAGAAATTGAGTCTTCATTGGAATATCGAATATTAGGAGGCACCGTCTATATATATATATATATATATATATATATATATATATATATATATATAGGAGCTTTGTATTCTTCCTATATATCGGTACTTTTCGATATTCGGTATTTTGTTAATTTTTTCCACATTTTTGTATACAAATTGGTATTTGTAGGTCATAATTCCAGCTCCGGTGGCGAAACATTGAATATTTTGGTCCACGTTTTCCTATAGCTCACATACATCGATACCCATTCGGTATTTTGATAATAGTAGTCATATTTACCCATGAAATTGTTTCAAATTTGGTATTTTAGAAGATTTGATAGATGACAATCCTTGAAGTATAAAATTGTCTGTAGAGGTTTTCATTTTGGTATGGCCCCATATAACGGCCTCACTCACTTTATGGTTTTTTGATAAGTTTAACTGCATTATACAAAAGGTCTTGCTGATATTTGTAGTTTAAAGTGGAGCACGCTTTGATTCAGATACTTTTATATAAAAATGTTTCCTTTATCCTAAGGTGGAGGATATTAAAAGTTCGGCCCGGCCGAGCTTAATGTTTTTAGCTTGTAACATGTTTCATATAATTAATTTTTTATATTTATTATTACAAAGATTTCAAGATTGCCTTCAGATGTAAATATTCTTTCTTGCGTCATAGATCTTACCTTTCGTTGTAATGTTTTTTGTTCAGTTTTTTTGAAACCAATTTTCTCGAATAGTTCTTTCTGTTTTTAATAAAAGGATATTATTATTCTTTACTATTATTGTTTCTTTCTTTCTGTTTTTAATAAAAGCATATTATAATTCTTTACTATTATTGTTTAGATATTTATTTTACATAAGGCGATAATTATACGTTTATAAAGAAAAGCAATCAACTATAAGCATAACATTATTGTTCTAATAGTAAGCTTTTGCTTTGGACATATTAAAATACTGATTTCAGCTGGACATACAAAATTGGCTCTTGGCTGAAACCTATAAAAATGCACAAAGAATGAGGGTAAAAATATTTTTGTGATATATTTATTTTATTTTAATGCAATTTGTTTAATTTGTCTTACGTTATTGATTTGAACTTTTTTATTTTATTCAGCTTGAAAGGGTATAGAAACTCAAATTTCTCTATGATTCTATATGGTGCCCTTTCGTAAATCGTAGCGCTTTATTGTAAGCTTAAGTACATTTTGTAGTACTAAAGTAGGACGTACTGGCTCTATTAAAAGAGCTTCGCTGAAACTTGTTCCCCGCGTTGCGGTCATAATAATGGTAGCTTCGAACTGGATACGATGCAAGTGCTTCATTGACTTTGATCCTAACGATCCGGATATGAGATCGGTCAAATTGAATCGGGAATAAAAAATACAATTTTAAAAAACAAAACTAATCAATTTTTTTGCATCGTCGCTTTGTCGTTCCGTGACTTCGATTAGTCATTTGATTACATGCGAATAAACATACAAATGCATCAAGGCATAATTATTTCGTTTGTACAATTCCTTTTGTGTCGTGTGCCAGTATATTATTACAGTGTATGGCCTGTAAATGAATATTGTAGCTTGTTATAATATTTTTTTCCGCCGCTTGGGGAAGCATAGCTGAGTGCTACCGGACGCGTCCACAAGTTGCGGATAGTGGGACGCCCGATGGATATATCGGTCAGCTGCGATTTAAATAAGCAGTCGCGGGCAGCTTAGCGGTCTCTAGGAGAGAGTCTCGGGCTAAATACCCGAGCGCCTATGATCCCTGGACTCGACGAGGCGAAGGCACTGGCGCCCCTAAACTATTCAGTCAACGGATTGGTCCACCGCAACGGACCCCCTAACACTGGGGTGTTACGTAAACCGTGCCCATCAGTGTTTCAAAGTTTTGCAGTCAGGATACCGACTGTATTCGAACGGTTGCCTCGTCGATACCTGGGCGCCTCGACGAGTATTAGGCTTAGACCTCATCACCTCCAACAGACCTCATCACCTCCAACGTCCAACTTTTATATGGAGAACAAATTAACATCAAACAAAAACAAACCAATTACTGACGATATTTCAACTGCTTCTTCGGAGGCATCGACACAGAACGCGGCCACGGACAAGAATTCAATTATGGGTGGGGACTAGACTCTGTTGACGTACAGAGACGTGGTATGCAAAAGCATACAAGAAAAGCTGTCCGCCCTTCTCGAAAAGACCAAAACCCTTAGACTTAGCCAGGAAAGTGTACCATCCGGTTTTGGGAATGATTCACCTCTCTCCGATGAGGAGCTCGACATCTTTGTCATACCCTCATCTGAGAGAGATGAACGAGTCCAAGAAATTGGAGAGGTTGCTCACACAGGTGCCGAGGTGAGGTCGATACTCGACGAAGGGACTCCATCGGAACATACCGATGCTACCAACCTCCCGGTCAAGGAAGTCGTCATGGAAAAAGGCACTAGTGCCTCTACCAACCACGACGACTCCGGATCGAAAGAGGGTAAAGCAAGGAGGGGCTACAAACGGTCGGTGAGGTATTGTAAAAGCTTCAGCCCCCTACAGATTACGGAGAGGGAAAGGACCCTGATCAAGACGAACCTGAAGGCAGTGCGGAAATTCGAAAAGAATCATCCCCAACTGCTAAAATGTTCTCTTGAAGGGGAACTTGCCTCTCTCCTTACAGACCTCGGGAAGAAGGTGAGTCCTGTTGGGGGCAAACCGACGAAATAGGCTGGGGTGGGAAGCGGTAAAACTCCTGATGATGGAATAACAGCTTCGGTTGTTGCACCATCGACGGAAGCATGCGCCGCCCCACCGTATCTTACGCAGGAAAGCGGAAAAAGAAAAGGAAGAAGAAGACCACTGGCGGAGACCAAACCGTCCTCGCGGTTAACACTGAAGATAGGACGTTCAACTGAGGAACCGCATCCCGAAGCAAAGAAGCCGTCAACGGGTAACCTTCCTCCTCCGCCACCTGCGTCATCTACACATGCAGTTGGCGAGAAGGACGCTGCCAGGCCGGCTCAGGTAACCCCTACAGACCCTAGGTCTGTAACTGCTAAACCTGCAACCGCCAACCCGCAGCGTTCGAGCCAACCACACAGGAAGAGGAAACATTCCCAAACCACCTACCCGGACAACCTCCGTGTAGCGGTTATCGAGCGAGCTGAGCTGGAAGGCAAGATTAGCGAAAGTCGGTGGCTTCTCATTGAGGACCGTCTGAGTGAATTGGTTTTCCTAGGGGAAGATCCTTCACGGCTGCAATTTGGCAGTGCTACTCTCTACAAAGGAGTGAAGGTTATCTGCTGCGAGAACGAGGAGTCCAAAGACTTCCTCGTGACCGCAGTAGCTGGCTTTCAAGGCCCTTGAGATGGAAGTGCAATTGCCACTGTATCCCTAAAGGAAATTCCCTGTAGGAGAATATTGACAGCATGGGTGCCACCACCCTCAGTGGATCCGACACGCGTGCTGACAATATTGGGAAATACAAAACCCAACCTCAATATGGATAGCTGGCGTTTAGTCGGCTCAAGTACGGAGGGGGTAGGCCTGGTCGTCAAAGTATCTATCGATACAGCCAGCCAGGACTACCTTCAGACTCGTGGGTGAAAGCTGCACTCTGGCACGGGATGGATTCGGTTCCGTCTAACGCCGATGTCGCAGTAAGAGGAAGGAAGCCACGACTGCTCAACGTTGTGCAGATTAATCTGCACCACTGTAAGGCAGCCGCAGCTGAACTTCTCTTGTCCCTCACCAAGTTTGAAGTAGACATAGACCTGGTCCAGGAACCCTATATTGTCAAAAATAGGGTGACTGGGCTAGGGAGTGAGCGGTACATTACCTACGCCACCTCCAATGGAGATAAGGTTAGAACGTGTATCGTCGCTAAAAAGAACCTAAATTTAATCTTCCTCAATAATTTCAGCGCAGGAGACGCTAGGGCGGTTAGGATGAAAGCACGAGCCGGAAGGGTACTCTTTTTTGCTTCCATCTACTTACCCTTTGAGTACCCCGACCCGCCAGGCGAAGCAGTAGAGAGGCTGTTCACGGAACTGGGAAGTAAAGGCAATTGCGTCGTTGGATGTGATGCTAACGCTCACCATTTTCAATGGGGCAGTAAAGATGCAAATTTTTGATTTTATTTTAACGCATAATCTCAAAATATGTAACAGGGGAAATGAGGCGACGTTTCAAAATAGGAATAGGGAGGAAGGCATTGATCTAACCCTTACTAATAAGCATCGGGGAGTGTTCTGTTAGAAAATCTGTTACTAGGTTCTATCACCACAACTCTGGCTTTTGATGATAAACAAAATTCTAATCGAACTGGAACAAGGTGGGACAAAGGTCGTGGCTTACTCCGATGATGTTGTCTTGCTGATTGCTGGGAAATTTCCCCAAACTGTTTCAGATCTTATGCAGGGAGCTTTAGTTAAACTCTCCAGATGGGCACGCTGCAATGGACTTGGCGTAAACCCATCAAAAACTGAGCTCGTACTTCTCACAAGGAAGCGGAAAATACCTGTTTTTTCACTGCCTGTCCTTGATGATGTTCTGCTAAGCCTTTCCTCGGAAGCCAAATACCTCGGTACCATCCTAGAGCAGAAGCTAAACTGGGAGGAACATCGAAGAGCGAGCGAAGAAGGAAAAAGCTGGGGTCTCAAGCCGCACATAATCAAATGGTTATACGAGTCTGTCATCCGATCAATTCTAAGCTATGAGGGGCTTGTTTGGTGGCATTCCGTAGGGAAAACCACCTTCAGCAAAAGCATTGATAAAGTCCAAAGAGTTACATCGCTACTAATTACAGGCGCGCACTAGACACCCTTCTCAATTTAATCCGCACTAGACACCCTTCTCAATTTAAAACCGTTAGGTTTATTCGTAGAGGAAAAAGCTGCTAAGTGTGCCCTGCGGCTCCTTGAACTGGGTCAATGGCGGGGTCAGCCATTCGGACACTCCGCCATTTTCAAGTATGTGAAAAGTATAGTAAATCAGGCTATAACTAGTGATTATATATCACCTAGGCACAGCTTTGAACCACTTGACATTCACATACCTAACAGAGACATTTGGACTCGTGACACTCCACCTCTTAATGGTATAGCTATCTATACTGATGGATGAAAGATGGAAAGTGAAACGGGAGCCGGAGTCTACTGTGAAAGTTTAAATATCCGACGATCCTTCAAATTAAACAACGACTGTAGTGTTTTTCATATGTTATATATGTCGACAGTCAAGTGGCCCTGAAGGCCCTGAATTCTTTTACAATCAAATCTATGGCGGTTCTGAAATGCAGGAATGCTCTGGAAAAGGCTAAATCGTTTGTCAAACTCTGTTGGATCCCTGGACATTGTAACATATTTGGCAATCAATGTGTGTCCGTTGATCTTGAAATTGAGAGCTCAGTGAAACCACCCTTATGTCACTTTTTCCAAATTCTGCATAGGCATTATGTGAAATTTCAGCAAAACTGGCTATCTGGAAGGTATGTAATGTCTCCAAAAAGATCTGGCCGGTAATCTCCGTAAGGAGATCTAGGTCACTTATATCCATGACGAAGTTGGACTTGAAACTTGTGATAGGCCTAATTACAGGACACTGCAACATTAAGGCCATGACATCCAAATGGGGGGTGACGATACTGAATACTGTAGGCTTTGTCAGGACGAGGATGAAATTGAGACGGTGGAACACTTACTATGCCACTGTCCAAGTCTTATAGGAGCAAGACAGAGGCTACTGGGTAG